AAAAAGTACATATTTATATGTCGTCTTGTTTTAATTTATAAATATAATTTTTACTAATAAATTTGTATTTGTTGATATTTAAATTATGTATATAATATTTATAATAAATTATAAAATTTTTAATCCTTTATTACCAAATTTTAAGTTTAAATTTTCACTAGAATGCATATTCAAAATTGTCTATGCACAAAATCTATAAATATTAATTTAAATTATTTAATATTAAAGGGAACAAATTAAATTGCAACTAATTGAAGAAAATTTCATTTTTTCAATGGCAATTTAAATATATCAACCTTGTTTGAGATTATATGAGGCTCAAAACGTTACCACATGGCATGTGTGATACACAAAATTAGAAATTGTGGTGGTCTTGATATTTTTAAAAAGAGAATGAGTACCTCTGTTATTGTCATAAATGTCATGGTCGATTTCTCCAATATTATCTCTGTATAAAATACGAGAGAAAAATAGGTTTTTTTTTATTCTCTCTTAGTTTTGGATGAAATCGTCATCAGATACAAATTGTTATAATTAACGAAATGTTGAATAATAATAATGAGATAAAAAAGTGAGATGCGTGAATGTTACAATGAGAAAATATTATAGATCTTTTATGTAATTTATAAAATGTGTTGCACTTATAAAAAATTTCTTCGGTTAATACATTTAGCCTACATGAAAACATCGTCTTATATTGTATGTAGGCTTTTCAAACAAATTCGAGCAATTTAGGAAATGAATGCCAAAAATTACTCGAATCGACCCTTAACTGAGCAAATGATAGAAGAAGGTATTGATATCTCCGTAGAGTAGAGCCACCCAAAAAGCATGATAGGGTATCTAACATTGAATAATGCATACAAAAGAAACTAAACTCCCACTTGTTTCTCATTTTTGGAAGAATGAAAATGAAAAATATAGTCGTTATGGGTCCTACACAAAATAAGAAATTCAAATTTGGTGGCTCGATGTGATGTATTACAGTCATATTTTTCATTTTAATGAGGAAAAAAAGGGAAACAAATAGGGGCTAAATCTTTGAGACCTTTTTCATGGCATTTTCTTGTGTACTTTCCATTTTAGTATTGAATATTTTCTTCCCAGTTTGTTAGGTTACGTGACTAGATGAAACACAAGCATATGCTCAAGAGTAAAAACTTGTTGAATTTTACATAAATTAAAAATAAATATTTACAATATTATCTAAATGAATGTTTTAATATTGTTTCTTTTATTTCATAATATATATGTCAAGTTTCAATCATGGAATAAGAACAATATCGAGCCAATTTCATTATAGTATAATATGTCCTTATCGATTTTGTTATATTGTATTGTACATCAATAGTGTCGGACTTACGACTATTTATATTATACATATCTAAGAAAGAGTCTTTTACATTATGTGTCCTTATCATCTTCGTTAATCGTGTTTTGCTATTAACTTATTTATTTATTTATTTAAACTGAGAATTAATTCAATGTATTCTCTTCACATAAATGCAACTGACACTATTTTCACATTTTTTATGATTTTTTTTTTTTTTTATAAAATTTAGGCATAGAAATTAAATTTCTAGATTATCTATTGAGTTTCAAAAGAAAGTTATGATCAATCTAAAATATTTAATTACTTAGAAATCACATTGATTATTCCATATCAAGTGCATGTAATCCTAGGTTAAATGTACCATGGGTCACTCAGTTTTGAAGATTGAGGGCTTGATTTGTGTTATTATGAGAACCAGTTTTTTGACCGTTAAAAAGGAAAAGTAGATCCCATCTGTGAGTGAAGATGTCAAAAATGACTACTGATTATGTTAAGTAACAATCGAAAAATTAATTTTTTGACTTGAAAAATCAGAGCCAAATGAGGCTTAATTAGATCCCCATTATCATTAANGTGGTCTTGATATTTTTAAAAAGAGAATGAGTACCTCTGTTATTGTCATAAATGTCATGGTCGATTTCTCCAATATTATCTCTATATAAAATACGAGAGAAAAATAGGTCTTCTTATTCTCTCTTAGTTTTGAATGAAATCGTCATCAGATACAAATTGTTATAATTAATGAAATGTTGAATAATAATAATGAGATAAAAAAGTGAGATGCGTGAATGTAACAATGAGGAAATATTATAGACCTTTTATGTAATTTATAAAATGAATTGCACTTATAAAAAATTTCTTCGGTCAATACATTTAGCTTACATGAAAACATCGTCTTGTATTGTATGTAGGCTTTTCAAACAAATTCGAGCAATTTAGGAAATGAATGCCTAAAATTACTCGAATCGACACTTAACTGAGCAAATGATAGAAGAAGGTATTGATATCTCCGTAGAGTAGAGCCACCCAAAAAGCATGATAGGGTATCTAACATTGAATAATGCATACAAAAGAAACTAAACGCCTGTTTGTTTCTCATTTTTGGAAGAACGAGAATGAAAATATAGTCGTTATGGGTCCCACACAAAAGAAGAAATTCAAATTTGGTGGTTTGATGTGATGGATTACAGTCATATTTTTCATTTTAATGAAAAAAAAATGGGAAACAAATAGGGGCTAAATCTTTGAGACCTTTTTCATGGCATTTTCTTGTGTGTACTTTCCATTTTAATATTGAATATTTTTTTCCCAGTTTGTTAGGTTACGTGATTAGATGAAACACAAGCATATGCTCAAGAGTAAAAACTTGTTGAATTTTACATAAATTAAAAATAAATATTTACAATATTATCTAAATGAATGTTTTAATATTGTTTCTTTTATTTCATAATATATATGTCAAGTTTCAATCATGGAATAAGAACAATATCGAGCCAATTTCATTATAGTATAATATGTCCTTATCGATTTTGTTATATTGTATTGTACATCAATAGTGTCGGACTTACGACTATTTATATTATACATATCTAAGAAAGAGTCTTTTACATTATGTGTCCTTATCATCTTCGTTAATCGTGTTTTGCTATTAACTTATTTATTTATTTATTTAAACTGAGAATTAATTCAATGTATTCTCTTCACATAAATGCAACTGACACTATTTTCACATTTTTTATGATTTTTTTTTTTTTATAAAATTTAGGCATAGAAATTAAATTTCTAGATTATCTATTGAGTTTCAAAAGAAAGTTATGATCAATCTAAAATATTTAATTACTTAGAAATCACATTGATTATTCCATATCAAGTGCATGTAATCCTAGGTTAAATGTACCATGGGTCACTCAGTTTTGAAGATTGAGGGCTTGATTTGTGTTATTATGAGAATCGGTTTTTTGACCGTTAAAAAGGAAAAGTAGATTCCATCTGTGAGTGAAGATGTCAAAAATGACTACTGACTACGTTAAGTAACAATCGAAAAATTAATTTTTTGACTTGAAAAATCAGAGCCAAATGAGGCTTAATTAGATCCCCATTATCATTAACAGAATGCCGTTCTTTGAGATTTGAAATGTAGTTTTTAGCTTTATTTTTAATGTATTAAGTGTTGGATAAATTGGTTTAGATTAGATGATTCGATCAACTTTTGATCAATTATTTTAGTGAATCCCATTAGTTGGATAAAAGATCTCTTTGACCGAGTGCATTCTACTCCACTACTAGATTATTGAAATGTATTTATTTTCTGAAAACTAATTAAGGGTAAATGAGAAACTAATGTCAAAAGATCATAACTTGAAATTGAAATAAATTGAGAATAAAAATTAGTGGGAAATTGGAACCAATAGTGATGAGATATGTTAATTAATGAAAGATTAGAGATAAGAACGAATCGAAAACAAGTTAGGGGAAATAACAAATGTAATGTGAATATAATAACCCTCCGTCAACATTTTGAAGTGCTACATTTTTCAACCCTTTAAAATTGGTGTTAGAAATTATTATGAAGACAATGGATCTAAAATCAATTTTATTATAAATACAAAGTAAATAAATAATTCCTCTTGTGAGTGCATAGAATCCTTCGATTAGTTATCTGATAATGTGATTTGATTCTTAGACGTTAACACTTCATTTATTGATGAATGCTTCATCTTCTAAGTTCAAAACGCGGTTATTATCTAGACAATGAGCACTTCCTCTAAAGAATATGGAATATATCATAATTTCTTTGATATCGCGCAACTAAATAAAGATGACTTGATCTTCTTTAAATTTTCTAGTTTCCTTTTCCTTTTTTATATTTAAAATATATATTTGTTTCTAAATCTAACTCATTTAATTATTTAAATGGTGACACAACTGCTTATCAAAAATGATAACAAAGTTTCACTTTCTCATTTCTAAGACATACGTGTCATAAATTTTTTATGCCTTCCATTTTTAGAAAAGAACCCGTAAAGAGTACGTACCTACATCTAAGGAATCCGTGTCTTAAACCATTTTTAGAAAGTGATCCAATGTATATTAATTCTAGAAGATATACATTGTTAAAAGGTTGAACCCCAACCTTAGGGGCCCCCACCGACCCTGCCCTGGGCCATCGTGGAGGAGGTAAATCGCAGGATGTGCCTCCCAGGAGCCAGGGTGGAGAGCACATGGATAGGCCAAGGCTGTTAACCCATATGGTAACTCCCGCTTGCAACAAAGCCAATTCCACCTTGCGGGGAATCGAACTCTGCACACTGCCGCGCTGAGCCCTATCCGCCCTCCCCTTTGCCACTGGGAGATATGCCCTGGGGGCAAGATATACATTGTTACATGCACTTCAAGTTGTGCCAATAGACTTTGGCCAACAAGTTTTTCTCTTTTCGAAGAAAATATTATTTTTATGAAAATTCTGGCCACGTTGGCTAGATTTTAATTGTTAAACAAATGACCACAAATATATCCCACAAAGACCAGCCTAGGCGGTTTGTCCTAACTTCAATTCAAGAATTACTTCTTCTTCTTTTATTTATTTTTTATTACTCTTCTTCAGAGTGTGAAACTTTCAAGTTTACTTCTTATTTTAAGATTAACCATATATTTTCATATCTTTAAATTTTACAAATACTTGATAATAATATAATTGCATGCCAAATTACCAACCCGAGTGGATAATTTTTAGCCTGTTTATAGACTCAACACGACTATATATATTACTGCCAAATCCGTTTACCTTCATCTACTTCACTTTGCATTTTATATCCTTGTCTAAGTTAGGTTGTGCCTCCGACAACATGCAATCTCTCTACCTCCCTTCATTGCCTACCTCTGAACGACCTTTTCTCATTATATCTACTATCCCAATTTCCAGTCTTCTGCTTCCGCTTCTGCTTTTGCTTTTGCTTCTGCTTCTTGTCTTTGTCTTGAAACAATGGTGTCGTCGAACAGATAAGCGGCGCCTGCCCCCGGGATCCATGGGATGGCCTTACATAGGCGAAACTCTCAAACTCTACACTGAAGATCCTAAAACCTTCTTCTCCACTAGGAGGAAACGGTATGGGGACGTATTCAAGAGCCACATATTGGGATGTCCTTGTGTGATGATTTCGAGCCCCGAAGCTGCGAAAAATGTTCTGGTTAACCAAGCTCATCTGTTCAAGCCTACATATCCACCAAGTAAAGAGAAGATGATAGGACCTCAAGCCCTATTCTTTCATCAAGGGAATTATCATTTAAAACTCAAGAAGTTGATTCAGGCTTCTTTTGCTCCCTCTGTTGTTAAAGGATCAGTCTCAGCAATCGAAGAAATTGTTCTCAACTTTCTCCCAACTTGGGAAAATCATACCCTTATTTGCACTTTAAAAGAGATGAAGAAGGTACGTATTGCTTACACTTAAATGTCTCGAGTTTAAGCTCTCGGAGAGACAAACGAGCAACACGAACGAGCTCATTTTTTGTATTAAAGATTTAACACGCGATAGATGAAGTCACGTATATTCATTTAAATCTTTTGTTCTTTTATTTCTTTCTCCAGTATGCTTTTGAAGTGGCGATTATTTCAGCGTTCGGAAAAAACCAGGAACTAGAAATGGAAGGAATCAAACATTTTTATCAAATCTTGGAGAAAGGTTACAATTCAATGCCTATGGATTTTCCAGGAACTCTATTCAACAAAGCAATGAAGGTACAAAGATTAGCATCTCTTCAATGGTGTGGAAATCTCGTGATTTACTATTATGCTTAGTTGCACCAAAACCCACCACGTCAATCTGAACAAATATCGCTATGTTTTTGTCTTCAAATACAAAATTTGTACACGTATCCATGTTGTGTGCCATTTGAATTTTTTAATGTTTTATATTTTCGATATCTGCCAAATCTGTCAATTTACTCTGAATCCGTTTTCCCCCATTATTTCAAATTATAATTTTTCTCTCTTATTTTCAACCACACAATCTTCAAAAAATTATATTACACGTAAATCGAAAAATTTTCCTTATTTTTCAACCACATATTCTCTAAAAAAATACTTTTTCAAAAATTATAAATTGAAATAATGGAGCCAAACGGGGCCATGTACTGTCAAGTCTTACAGAGTATTATGTACTAAACATACTATATTTAATATGGATTTAAAGATAGGTTTTGACTGAGCTGCAGGCAAGGAAGCAATTGAACGAGGCCTTGACGAGATTGATCAAGAAAAGAAAAGGAAATAAGAAATTATATAATGAAGGGGGGCTGCTGGGGATTTTAATGAGAGCTCAAGAGCAAAAGCTGAATAGTTTAAGTGATTCTCAAATTTCTGATAATATAATTGGCGTTATATTTGCTGCTCATGATACTACTGCAACAGCCCTAACCTGGCTGCTCAAGTACTTGCTCGATAATCCTCACATTTTACAAGCTGTCACGGTAGTACAAGAAATTTCACCTTTAACGATGGAAATTAACCTTTGTTCGAAAAGTTCTTGCGGGCCCTTATTAATTACTACTATATTACAGATGGAGCAAGAAGGAATTCAATGCAAATTAGTAGAAGAAAATCGAGGGCTCACATGGGATGATACGAGGCGAATGTTTCTGACTAGCAGGGTACATATTTATTAAATTTTCTATATTATCTTTAAGACGGTTTAATATTCCTAAATACTCAAAATTAAACCACTATCAGGTTATCCAAGAAACATTAAGAACAGCGAGCATTTTGTCGTTTACATTCAGAGAAGCAGTTGAAGATGTTGAATTTGAAGGTTATATAATCCCTAAAGGTTGGAAGGTTCTTCCTCTATTCAGAACCATTCATCATTCAGCAGATTTCTTCCCTCAACCCGAAAAGTTCGACCCTTCAAGATTCGAGGTATATTGGAGCATTTTATGTCTATCCTATTGTGACACAAATATAAGGTTGTCAATTTTTTGATTATCTTAAAACTGTCGTTTTCCGACAAATGTACAATACTATTGAATTTTTCCTTCGATCTAGGCAATCTGGTAAAAAAATTCGAAATCTTTCAATTGTCAGATCCATCATGTGATCTATTTTTGTACACTATTCATGCTCGTGTGCATACATATAGTAACAAGAGTGGGGAATAGACGTGTATGTTGAAACTAAGTGCATAAAGATAATGTACTTTGTGTTTGTGTGATTGTGCAGGTGCCAACAAGACCTCACACTTACATGCCATTTGGTAATGGACTGCATTCTTGTCCAGGCAATGAGCTTGCTAAACTTGAGATGCTCATTTTCCTTCACCACTTCACTACAACTTATAGGTACTCTCTCGATGTTGACTAGCACTACAAGAAATTTCATTTTTTATGATAAAATTTTCACATTTATACACGGGACAGTAAATTATTACAAAAATATGTAATAATTTTTATTAATTTAACAGGAATTAAGAAGAAAGGAATTTTGTAAACTGATTATTTGAATAGTGACACTTTGGAGCTTATAGTGAATTGGACTTGTAAGGCTACCATTGAATCACACATAAGCCACAATTAATGTTTAAAATTGGTGTCACTCAAAAGTCAAAATAAGCAAACAACTCTAATGGTGCCTGAACTTTATAAAAATGTTATCTTGGATCGATTTTCCAGAAATTTTTTTAAATAGGCTCCCAAGCTTCTTACTTTGAGGAGCAATTTTTGACTTTTCGAAACCCTTTTCAAACGAGACCGTATAATATTTGGTGTGATGATTTTGCTCACTCACATTATTTATTTCTTGTTTAAATAACTACTGATTGTCGAAGCTAATATTGTGGTGCAGATGGAAAGTCATCGGAGAAGAGGACGGTATCGAATACGGCCCGTTTCCCGTGCCCAAAAGAGGATTGCCAATTGAAGTTAGAAGAAAGAAATATAGAGTTTAATTTAATTTTCTTTGTAAAAAATCTCAAGCTTGTCAGTGGGGACAAAAGTGTTCCCAATTCATTTCTTTTTCCTTCTATTATTATTTTCTTTTCTTCTTAAATTTACAGAAAAGCCCTTAATTTTAATTTTTTTTTTTTAATTTTTTTGAAAAATAGGTAGCCTTTCAATTTCTTGTACGGATGTATTCTTGTTGTAAAATAATGTCACAAGTACATATATGAATATAAATTTGTTCATATTTCATATAAAGAGACAAAATGTTAAGAAAAAAAAATCAAGAATCTACATTTTCAGTCCATGCATATGTTGTGTGTTGTATAACTTTGTGAGATAAAATTTGTGTGGTAAACAAATGTTAGAAAGATTCTCATTAAAATATCCAAATTAAAGAAGTCAAAAGTGTACTATTTTGGGAATGTGCATATCATAAGGCCACGTTTGGAAGAGGAAAAACACAATTTTAGTTTTAAGTATTGAGTGGATTCAATGCATTACATTATTGGTTTTAATCCAGCTATGTTGATGTAGACAAATGATTTCTCTTTGAAATGTGAAAACCATATATTTTGTAATTCAAAAATATTTTTGAGATTGCAAGTAGAAAAGAACTTGTGCTTGTGCCATACAATGAATTTGCATTGCATTAAAGTTTACCCTTCTTTAAAATATCATTTTCGAACTCATTTTTACGATTTATTACTTTCTACACTCTGATGCATTAGAAATGTGTAAACAAATTTCTTGTAATGTAGGTTGAAATTCGTTTGAACAAAATCCCTTGAAATAAAATCTTACTTTCTAAAAACATATCAAAATCTTGTGATAAGTTTGTGTTTTTCCAAATAGTTGGCGTATTTGTTAGAAACATGATTAAATATTGTGTTATTTTTTATTAGTTTCATTCTCTAATGGAGTTTATATGTACAAATATTGAATGAACTCATTATTTTAGACAACTTATAGTAACGAACTTTTGCAATTTAGAGCCCACACTCCATATAGAACTTAGGGCATGTTAAGTAGTGATTATGAGAATTGATTTTTTAATCGTTAGAGAGAAAAGTGGGTCTCGCTTGTGAGTGAAGAAGTAAAAAATGATTGTTGCAATAGTAAAATAAAGATAAAAAAATTGATTTTTTTGGGTAAAAAATTGCTATCAAACGGGAGCTTAATAGGTAGGTTGAATTTCAATTTTTTCTAAATCAAGATGGTTAATGAGCTCAATTAGGGATTGACCCAAGGATCCATTGATCCCACTAAAGGTACATACTATCTGATTGGGAGCCTCGCACCCCCTAACATATTGAGAGTGTTTAGTAGGGATTAAAATTAAATTTTTTAGTAGATTGTGATAGAAGTTTTGAAATGTATGATTAAAAAGTTGTAGGATCAATAAAAGATGTGATTAATATTGATTATTTGACTTTGACTTAAATTAAAATCAAATTTTAATCCATACCAAATAAGCAGATTCTCTTTTAGGGTTTGATATGGCATTGATGTGAATTTGAAAAGAATTAATTTTGTTGAAATGAAAAAGGTATCATCTACCAGAAGAATCACTTAAATGTTTTAGTAAACTTTTATTTCAAAATTACTTTCAAATAAGAATTTTAACATTTGGTAAACAAAAGTGATTTACCGTTGTACCATTGCATGATTACTAAAATAAAAATTGATTGTAATAATGTCTCGTGTTATTATCGTATTTTATTTTTACTTTCATAAAAAAGACATTATTATCATCATTAATAGCATTTTATTTTTAAAGGTTAAACCCTAACCTTAAGGGTCCTCCACCACCCCTGCCCTGGATTATCGTGAGGGAGATAAATCGCAGGTTATGCCTTCAAGGGTACAGGGTGGAAGGCTGCTTGTACACTTGCACTTACCCAAGAGCCAAATCCATATTTCAGGATTCGAACCCTTGACGCAGCAGCCTCAAGTAAAGCTGGATTTCTCCATCCTCCCCTTTTACCACTTGGAGATGTGCCCTGGGGACTAATAGCATTTTATTTTTACTTTCATAACGACATGTAATAGTATCAAACACTTTTATTACAATCATTTACTTAGTTATTATAAAAAAAAATTAAAAAAATTTATCTATTAAATCTCAATATTATTAAATTTAAAAATAAAACCGTAGTCTATATAGAAGAAGAATATTTAAATAAATTGAAATTATTTTTAAAGCTTCATTTAGGAATAAAATTGATATTTTATTTACAGATAATTGGAGAAGCTATCGTTTTACTACTTCCCAAAATCTGTTCGCAAATGATACAGATTATCTCACCGCACACCTATAACGACTTGTGATTGGTAGACAATCAGAATTTTGGACTCCAAATGGGACCTAAGACCTAACCGCACTACAGCTGTATCTATGCTATTTTAAGTACTGCATCATCTTAGCCCCCGTTTGACCCCCCCGAAAATGAAAATGGGGGAATAGTATTTTTTTTTTTTTTTTAAAAATGAGTGATTGAAAAAGAAGAAATTTTTTTCAATTTACGTGTAATATTATTTTATGGAAGATTGTGTGGTTAAAAATAGGAGAGAGGAAAATGGAAAATAATGTAATTGAATTTAATGGGGATCAAACGGGAGCTTAATCTTCCTTCATAATTACAATTTATTTAGTTCATAACTCCACTAATTTTTTTTCTTTTTATTCACCAAGAGCGAGAACATCTAGTGGTGGCAATGGGTTGAGCCGATGACTCGACCGCTCTACCCATGAGCTTGTCTTGTTGGCTCGTCAAAGTGACGAGCCAATCTCAAGTTCGTTCAAGCACGAGCCGAGCGGCTCTACCCACGAGTTCGAGATTTTTTATTTTTTAAAATTTTTTGACTTTTTTATTCACATTTTTTTGTGAATTTTCGTGAGCTCAATCAGTTAAGCCTTGCTTTGCTCATCGAGTGAACCCCCGCTCGGCTTGGGCTTGTCCCGAGCGAACCCCGCTCCATAAATTATAATTCGTTTCATATGAATAATTATATTGACAAACAATTGATTTGTTCAAAAAGCTTACATATTTTGGGCTATACATCAAGAAACTAAAGTAACTTGTCCGACTAGTTATGGTCTATCTTCATAATCAATTCAAAACCAGCAGTGATGCAGAATGATGTCAAACAAGTCACTTAGAACAAATTGCTCAAGAATATTAACTCTCGCCACTTTTGACAGCATGCTTGGCAGATTTATCATGACAACACTGGTAATAGTTACACTGAGGCACAATAAAAGCATGCATAAACGGGCGTTTGTGAGAATTTAATACGTTGACAATTAATCTTTCAAAACTCATTTTTCTTTTTATAATCATTTTCAACCATAAATTCTCACAATAAAATATTCTGCACGTACTTTCAAAACTTTTTCATACTTTTTAACCACACATTCTCCAAAAAACAAAATCATTATTCCAAAACTCAATTTCTTCCCCTCACCCCGCCCAAAAAAAAAATAAAAAAAAGGGTTGTCAAACAGGGGCTTAAGCAGCAGCTAATCACTGTTCATTCTTTTCCTTTCAGTCAGTGAGAACTTTATTATAAATTGTATCGAATGAAAGAGATCCATGCTAGCAGTTCGGCTAACAATTGTGTCGTCATTACCTTAATTAAAACTCGAAAACTAAAATAACATGAGTTGAGAAGCACATGTTTCAAATTCTATTGTTTCCTATTCTAGACATTAATACTCTCCCCCATTTACGAGGCACTTAATATACATTCCAGCCTCTAAAGGCTCACAATCTATCTAGAGCCCATATCTTCTCGTCTTGTTCCAATTCTCTTAATCTCTGCCTTCTACCCTACCACCCCTTCTTGTTGGGCAAGCTTAATATCATATAATCAGACCATAATGTCTGAATTTCATACTTAAAATTCAGATAGATGTTTGAATATCATCAATCCCACCTCAGTTAATCATCCAACTTCCCAAAGGTGGTCAACCACCACCATTATTTCCACTCACTTTTTCCTCGCAATATGACTATTAGCCTGTAGGAGAGCTTCTTATAGTAAGGCTTAAGAGAAGATGATGACTAAATTACATGCTTAATGAACAAAATAATTCTAGATAGGATTGAAATAAGCCCTTTAACACCTAGGTGTTCACACACTATATGAGACAGTGATATTCATTCATTTACAGTTCACATGTATGAATGGAGTCCCTTGACAATGGTGCCATTGTCAAATTGTGATGATCATGACATGAATACAGTATGAGATTATGATACTTACGATTATGATAATGATTTTGTAATGCTAGGATATCTTCGATGTGGATAATTATGCTAAAGTGATAGCATCCCATCGTTGATATTTTTTTATGCATTACAATCCACAAATGCTATGGTATAGTGAGGTTGATTATCACATATGATGTTATGGGATGAAGATGACGTCAAAGGTTTCCGGTGAAATTTTCCAAAATAAGTTCATAGATTGTTACAATTTTATTAAGTTTGTGGTAAACATGTTCATATAAGATTTGGATCGTTTAGCAATGGTTAGAGACTTAATATATAATGAAGAACAGACACTAGGTGACTTGGGAGGAAAGAATACAATGGTTCAACATATAATAATAATAATAATAATAATAATAATGATGATGATAATAATAATAATAATAATAATAATAATAATAAACCAAACTAGCTAATTAAACACACAAATAATCAGAAAAGAGTATGTTGAGGGTATGGGTATGGCAAGAAGATGTGTTACTAAGGTTTTATCTTTTCAGGGGTATCTACAGTATTGGTAATCTTGGGAATATATAGAACATGTTCTCTTTTTTAATGTATTTCAGCAGTGATCAGCTCATGAAATTTCCTACAAACAGGAGTTGTGCAGGGAATGAAGTGGAATGAACATGGGATAACAAATTCGTACTATATACATTCCTGTGTTTAGCATGGGCCGTGGAGCAACAGTGCCATATATCGAAACAATAACAGAATAGTAGTTTTTTACTGTTGATGCTATGAGGCAAAAAGACTGGATTACAGCATGGAAAAGGATATGTGAAGAATGCAAGTTCAAGCACTTTGAACATATGAACAGGCTTGATTGACACAATGGAATCCTTCATGTTACATCTGGATTAATGACAGTAAAAGGGAAGGACAAATGGATCTATAACAGCAACAGCACAACTCACTGCAACTCATATTCCTCTTTCCACTGTCTCATTCTAATATTAAGTACCAATTCATTTGCAAAACATTAGCATATTATTTTCACATGCCCCTCTTCCTTATAGAAGGGAAAAAAGTTATTTTCCTTCTAGACAACCTTATCATCAAACTTGGGACAATCCAGAATAAAACACACTAAAACAAGACTAATCTTAGCGACCTTTTTAGAAGCTCCTCCAATAAATTAGTTGAGTATGAAAAGCAGCGGAAGGGAGGACATTTATTTAAGATCAATATTTCAAGAAATGAGAACATAACAGGAGGAAAAAAGATAACAAATATATTTTTGACAACAGAAACGGTAAAGAGGGAAAATGGTGAACATGTCACAGAATTAGAAGGAAAAAAACATATAGAAACATTACCAGACCTACACATCTAAAATGTTAATGCCAAAAAAAATAAATTGATTCTTGCCAGAATTATCATTTGGGCAAGGTATATGTACCAACCTAAAAAAGAAACTGCATTTATGTTCTCAAAAATGACCATAAAATAACGCAAATCAAGATCACGTGAATACACAAACATTCCTAATTCAAATAAATGGTAATAATGAAATGGAAATTGTACCATTAGATATAACAGCTGAAGATTAATGTTATCTTTCTATCTTCAAAATTGCAAAATTCTACATAGCTGACTACTGCTTAAATTAATAAATGGTAATAATGAAATGGAAATTGTACCCTTACATATAACAGCTGAAGATTAATGTTATCTTTCTATCTTCAAAATTGCAAAATTCTACATAGCTGACTACTGCTTAAATTAATAAATAAAAGGAAGAAACTTGTACCTAACCTTATTCATGTACTCAGCATACCTCTCTCCAAAGGTCTCTAGCATCAAGGCCTCTTCTAATTTTGCTTTCTGCCCATAGTACATAATACAAACCGCAACTATAAATAGAGCACTCATGGGAGCTCTGAGTGCAGTGAAGTATGTAACAAACAACAGCATCGTGGACGCATAAATCGGGTGGCGAACAAATCTGTATGGCCCAAACTGGACAACAGCAGTGGGCACAACCACCTTCTCAGAATACTTGGCCAAATACAAGGTGGAGTGATACTGCATGAACTCAGTCAACATGATCAAAAGCCAAATACCCACATTGTTCCACCCACCAGGAATTAGATGCAGTTCTTTCCCTTCACGTGCTGCTAGCCAATGTCCAACCATCACTCCAACACAAAACAAGCGTTTATGCCAATTGGGCAGAGTAATGTCCCACTTCGTATCGTGCTTCCTAGGATAATAATCACCATATAACCGTTTTCGGACACTCACATTGAGGAAAAAGAAATAATGGTACACGAAAAAGAACACAAAGGGCCATCCTTCAAGAAAGCCGTTGGAATGAGCAGGTGGGACTAATGTTAGCCAAGTGGAAGCTGAGGTAATGATGCCAAGTTGCTCTAGTACACTGGCTTCTCCCCGTAAATGCTTGTTAAGGCTATAAAGGCCATAAATTGCAAGGCCAATTGCTACTAACCATGGCCAGAACACCCACGTCCAGCTAAAATACATCCAGAAAAATGGGTTGAACAGTAAATCCAGACTCCATTTTGAAGCTGCAATTGCAACTGAGAATATCAAACACCACTTGCAAATGTCAACTGGGGTCAACTGCAAAAGGGTTGATTTCAAAGACACAAAATTGAAATTTCTGAGACTCTTCAGCAAGGGGTTCTGTGAGTCAGCACTTGTTGCACTGGAACTTGAACATGAGCATTTGAGCTGGTGGAAACGATTAATAATTCCAAAGTTTGCAGCAGATAACGGAGATACAGAAATGAACTGTAAACGAAAGGAATTTCCGCGGCTCTTCAGTGATAAACCAGGTAGATTGCCGGACTTCGAAGCATGTAACACAGAGGAATTTGAAGGGGTTCTAATAAGCTTAAGATTGTTCTGGGCGAGATATTGTTTTAGGAATAATTTTCTGTCTTCGAATTGTTTGTTGAAAGGTCTGAACAAGGTTAATCTGTGTTTAGGCGAGAAAGTAAACCCAAAAGATGTGACTTTCGGGCATACCAAAGAAGTAGCTGCTTCCATGGTGTACAGGGGCGGTGGTCCTGAGTATTTCACCGGTTACACTTGAAGGGCAGACAGTTTTGAAGGCAAGGAGAAAACCATAAACACCAGAATCAAAACTTCAAGAGAAATGTTGCTAGAGGAAGATTATTATCCACAAACAACAAATTTGGAAAAATAAATAAATTATAAAGGAGCTGAGTTGAATCATTGACAACAATAAGATCGAACGCGATTTCAACATATAAAGCCCATTTTTACACTAATAAAATCCGATATTACCTTCCAATTTTGTTGATGGAAGAAGTTAAAAAGAAATCACCTCAACACAAGATAGATTCGTGCGTAGGAGTGATGAATGTCACCCTTTTTGCCTCTCCCCCGATTTTTAACGTAATATCGAGGAAGAAAACCCGCTTGTCTCCCTTGCCTCTATGAATAAGACCACCTTTTAATTGGTCCGGCCACGTCCCAACTGATAAAGATGAAAGCGCCTCAAAATTGGTAAATTAGAGATCGGGAGTTCGATTTCTA